AATCTACACTAGAATCTACACTAGAATCTACACTAGAATCTACACTAGAATCTACACTAGAATCTACACTAGAATCTATACTAGATTCTACACTAGATTCTACACTAGAATCTACACTAGAATCTATACTAGATCTACTACAGTGAAACCCCTCTATACCGGACAGTGCTGGGACCGATAAAAATTTCCGGTTTAGCGGGGGTTCCGGTATACTGAGGTTTTTGCAAATTACTTTTGTTTCTGATTTGAATAGGTGCGATATCACACCTATTGAAAATATGTTTGTGTATTATCGTTTGGCGTCAGTATAAACAAACGTAAACGAAAGTTCAAGTAAAAATACAACAATAAGATCAAAAAGTAAGGAAATTTCTTAACTTTTTTTCAAAAGAACGCCAAGAAGAAACATTCTAAATACGATCTGAACAAAATCCCCGCTAAAATGGACTGGGAATGACCCCAAAGCCATGTGACATGAAAAAACATGGCGGCCGCAACTTCGCGAACCATTCGATCTTTAGTGTTTCTCAACACTATTAAACCTTTCTTATGCATTCTGTTTGAACATTTATATATTGAAAATAATTAATTAGTCTTTATATGTCTGTTTGTGAACAAGATTTACTATTTAAAGAAAATTTTCAATGATTTTGTGAGTTTAGACGTTGTCCCTGTATACTCATTTATACACCCGCAAATACGCTAGTGACAGTAGTTCCGAAACAAAGGTACGTTCTTCCGGACTAGCGGGGTTGAATTCTATTGTCAAATAGTGTTTAGTACCGAAATTATCGTCCGGTTTCCGGAATAGAGAGGTTCCGGTTTACTGAGGTTTATTTTACAAAAGATATATGGGAAAAATTTCCGGAMCAAAAATTTTGTTCGGTTTAGAGAGAACTCCGGTATACTGAGGGTCCGGTATAGAGGGGTTTCACTGTATCTACACTAGAATCTACACTAAATTCTACACTAGATTCCACACTACAGATAAATATCTTGGTAAAATCTTAAAACCACCGCGACGATCAGAACGATTGAGAGCGATAGCCAAGTCGATACCCGACTGGCAAAATGTGCAGTTCGGAGTTTAGCTGTAGTGACTGAACTATGAAAATTAATCAAAACACTGTGTTTGTTGAGTCTTCTATTGTTTACAAACGTGGTCTTGATATCTAGTAGGTTATTTTGACTCGCAAATTTTGCAGAACACAGTCCTCTATTGTTTCAAGTGACGGGTGTTTCTATTGAACAAATATATACTGACAATCAAAACATAATACTTAGTTAAAAAATGAAAAGAGCTGTAACTAAACTTATTTTGTATTCACATGCATTAAGCGTTTTATGAATAAATTTAATTTTAAAAAAGATTTTTGAAAAACGTGTTTGCTCTTTTTCCTTGGGCAAGTCATTTAATTGTTTGTTTTTCGATGAGTCAACTTCGTAGAACTCAATTAGGGTGAAACAAAAGCATAAAGTAAAAAGAGTCTAATCCTTTAACAATAGGCTTTGTGACAGAAAAACTATATTTATGAATAATTAGAACATTTCATTAGGATCAAACTTTGACGTAAAATATAGGATGTGGTGCAATCCAGCAAACTAAGAATAGACATGGCTAGAAACACGGGGTAGTAAGAATAGCCATGACGTCACCGTTATTACGGGTCCGGAGTAGGGTATGGGGGAGAGCACCGGTTCGCACCGGTGGCACCGGGTGCAGGATTGGAACCTCACTGGAACCTCATTCAGAATACGTCACCGTTGTTACGGGCCCGGAAACTAGGGTCTGGGGGAGAGCACCGGTTCGCACCGGTGGCACCGGGTGCAGAACTGGACGGTAGTAAAAGAGTTGGGCATAAAATCTCAAAATCTTTAGTATTCAATATGTTATCGCGGTAGTAAGACAAAGGACAATATCCGTAGAACTCAATTAGGATGAAACAAAAGCCTTAACTAAGCCTTTAAGGCTTTGAGATAGAAAAACTATATTTTATGAATAATTAGAAACTTTTATTAGGATTAAACTTTGACGTAAAATATAGGATGTGGTGCAATCCAGTCAACTAAAAACATAAGAATAGCTATAACGTCATCTCTGTAAAGACCCTGAGGGGGAGGGGGGGTACCTCAATGGTACCTCAATGGTACCTCACTCGAGTGATGCAGAACCGGCACTTCATATCTACTAATGCTATTAATTTGCATGTTCATATGACATCGTACGAGCTACAATGGCAAAGATTGAAGTTTCTGATTCACTTATTACTGGCCGATTTCACTTCATTTCACAACATTTCCATTCTCATGCGTAATGTTAATCAGCTGAATAGTTCTGAATGGACCTTTTTACTGATACGGCGGCCATCTTGAATTATGGAATGCCGAAGGAACAAACGTTTCACCTTTATGAAGCATAGAGTCGCGGGACTACGCTTTAAAATAGTTTGAAGTCTTGGTGTTTAGCATATCGTTCCAACTACCAGCAAATTCAATTACTTTTTAGAAGTGCTTCTTGTTGTGTTTTCATTATACAAATATGTAAATTAGTATAACAAGTGATTATTCAGTTAATAAAGAAGGTCGTAAGTGAACACACGACAGTTAAATCACAAGAGGTTGACTAACACGGCACTTCTCATTCAAAAGCGCAAAGTTATATAACAAGACACCCGAAGTATATGGAGTCTACAAAATTTTCCAATAGTTGCTTCTTTAGTATTCTGATACCGATTTATGCTAATGTTTTCATCTGCATTTGTAGGCATGAATAAGAAATATGTAAGATTGTCTAGCAAAGGTAAATGATTTTTTGTTTTACAGTCTTCCGTCAATTCTCTGTTGCTTTACTCTGCTTCGGACCCGCTGAATGAGCTGAATAATGAGTAATACAAATTATGCGGTCATTATTATCATCATTTTTGTCGTGATCGTCACCGTCGTAGATCGTAACTGTCACCATTATTATCATCATTATTAAGATTATTATTTTCATCATCATCATCATTACCACTACCTTCATCATCGGCATTAATATCATTGCAAATAGTCCGTTCGTTAAAGTTTGAAAAAAAAAATAGGCGTATTTTGTGATACAAGGCGGAATTTCTCTAAGACGCTTGATTGCTTTTCTTTCAAGTTTCACCCGGGATGGTGGCCGCTATCATCGTCGGTTCCTGCGCTGGTCTCATTCTGGTGACCATAGTGATAGTTGCTTGGAAACTAAAATACCCGAATGGATGGAGAGCAAAGTACAGAAACCGTATGAAATCTCTATCAGAAAGTGAGTAACTAACGACAAGATTCTAAACTAAGACTATAACTAAATAGCTTAGCAGTTAGTTGAAAATACTTTTAATCTGAAGACCAATTCCCTGAAAGTTTGCCTCTAGAAATCTTGTGATAGTCCATTTTCTCATTCGGTAAATACCGCTGTGTCTTAAGACTAAAGACTCATCTACACAGGCTTAGCCTTGTTTAAGAGAAAATCATTCGCAAACTATGATGCAACGAATGTGCAGTTTGAACAATACCAATGTTGTGAATAGCTGATTTATATTAGGGCTATGCCTTTGCAAGTTCGTCTGTGATCTTCAACAAGAGCCGTATACATCGAATGCGAAACATGGTAGCTTTTCTCGATGTTTTCATCATTTTTAATACATGCACGTAACATTCTCTTGAGAATGAGCTTCCTTATTTACATTCATGTAGATGTATATTCGCTTTAAAGCGTAGCTCATAGCTTATGAGGAAACGAAAATAATGCAAACAATACAAAGGGTGTTGAGAGGTCTCAGCCATAGCACTGGAAAAATCTATTGATTTGAGATGTTAGAAATATGTTTAGTGGAAGAATAATTGTAGGCTAGTCAGTCCTCCAACCTTTTGGCCAATTCAGTGGTATGAAAAAATGTTGTAAATGTGTGAAATACGTTGTGTGTTGAAAATATCATAGAAATGCGTTGAAAGTTAGTGATGACGCGTGCATTTTAGAAACTTGTGGGAAATATATTTTTTGAAATTTTGTTGAAAATATTTTGGAAACCAAATGTTGGAAATATGTTAAAAATATGGTGGGAGTACTGGAGGGATGTTGGAAATACATCGGAAACTTTTTGGAAGTTTCATTTCTAAATATATTGGAAGTATCATGTCGATATTTTGGAAAATTCACGGAAATATCATGGAATTTTATAGTTAAATTCAATTCAAAAGTGCTTGACTCGGTGTCTTGGAAACCTAAGTTTTTTCCACTTGGCCACGATTTCAGGAAATTAGCACAACAATGGCCATGACAACAAAGAACCAGATAGACTAGATTATTTTCCACTTTAAGTCGACGTGCCAGTGCGTGGCAGAGTGCAAGGGATTAGCTGTAGATATGGTCTGGGGGCCGGCTAGTCTCTCCCCTGATGCTTCGGCTAGAACACTATCATGCGTAATCCGTACACCCAAGGGCAGAGGGAAATAATCGCCGTCATGTCCGAAGTCCATACGATGACCCAGCGGATGACTAGCTCGGGGTATGGCATGAAGGCACTATCTTTTTCTTCATTCGGAATAAATCATCTAACTAAAGTTGGTGGACGTGGGTTCAATTCCCACCGTATTAAGATTACGTTTTTCCCCTTCTTTTTATCTAGCCTTAGATTTTTAAAAATATTTATTTATTCATTTTTATATTTATAAACGACTTATATTAATTAAAGAAAGTGAAAATGATTCTTAATTCTAGCCTTAGATTT